GCGCTAGTCAGCCAGCCAGAGGTCTAGTCGGCTGAGCCGGGGCTCAAATCACTAACACATGTAGCCGGCTCCACTTCATCAAATGTCAGTCTGTGCTCTTAATGCCAAGGCAAGAGCCCCAGATTGGTCGTGTTTTACCGGAGATCCTATGCAGGGCTTGGGTAGAAGCAGCTGGAGAGTGCAGTGGCCTTGCAGCTCCATGTAAAAACCAGTGTTGTGTTGCCAGGATGCAGCTAGCACAGCCATCTGGTTCAAGATGGCTGACTGATATCTGGATGAAGGGAGGGTATTGTCAGGGAAGAGGGGACAGCTGAGTAGATCTACTTAAGGAACAGCTCCCAATTCTGTTCTCACAAGCTTTTGTTGTTGTTGCTGCTGCAGTCTGATCTACTTGTTACATTTAAACACACCAAAAACCAACAAGCTAAATGACTTGTTGATCACATATATTATCCTGTATTGTTTAAGGTCATAGAACAGCGGCATGCTGAAAGCCAGGCAGCACTTCAGGATGAGTCCCGAGCTGCTAGCGAGCAGGGCAGCAGCGTGCACCTCGGGGAGCCCAGCAGACGCTCAGGGGGAGCCCAGCGCGAAACAGCCGCCTTCAGCCTCAACCTCAGCTTTGAGGAACTCAGCGGCGTGGGTCTGGAGGAGCCTGTGAGACGCAGCAACAACTCACACTGGCCGGTTAGTCTTCCTGTCACGAGCTTGTTATAGAAATATCACAACTGCGGCGTGATCAGCCAGTGTGTGCGTGGGCACATTATTTTAACACATGCAGATGTGCAACCGTATTGAAGTTGCTACTTTTAAGCGTAACTGTTATCGTGTTACACTTGGAAATAGTCGGACCCCAAACTATTGAATGGTCGCTGCACCAAGCCAGTGTGTTGATGGCCTCAGCAGTTTCACATAAATGTGGTTTAACCCAAAAAAAAAGAAGAGCACAGCGGAGGAAGCTGACAATGGTCTTGAAATTTGCAGAATTAAAAATACTTAGACACTGCTGCAAACCAAAAGGTGTCAAAGGGCCCCCTATTTGGTATTTTCACCTTTTTGTATTTCCAGTGTGCAAAATGTCTGAGACACATGCAAACGGTCACATGTCGAGTGATACTGCTGCTGTTTCAGATGACCTCAAATCAAAAATCCAGTTGCCACTCCACACGCGGTCTTTACTGGAAACATTCAATTCTCAGATTTAGAATATTTCAGATCTAATGATCAGTTTCAGTTTCAAGTTTCAACGTTTTCTAGTCATATGCACATTAAAGAAACATGTTTCCCTGTACAGTGAAACTCTTCCTTTGCTGTACACGACAGATGCCAAACAGTATGTAAGAAATACAGTCGAAATATAAGACGTGCAAAAAATAAACTCTACAAATAAAATCAATCTGAGCTACAAAAGCTCATGTACATATTCATGCAGTTTACAATGCTGCTGTATATGTCTGATTGCACACAGAGTAAATGCTGTTGCACTCTTGTTTTATGCACTCTTAAGTCAATAGCCCAGAACCATAAGGCACTCTGTACTCAGCACATGACAGACTCTGATAAATGTTGCACCCCAACCAAACTTTTTCCTCATTTTTTCAGGTGGTAAATCACCGCACTTCAAGCATGTCTAGCCTGAATTCCCAGGAATCCTCTAATGACATCTGCAAGCTGACAGACAAGCAGCAGGCTGAGTATCATGATGCCTACAGGGAGTACATCGCTCAGATGGCCCAGCTGGAGATGTCCGGCAGTGGGGGAGAGAGGCCTGTTCAGCCCCACCCTGGACAATTCCTTCAGGCTGCCAGCTCAGAGGACAAAGGGGTGGGTGGACAGTCACAAGTACACTGTCGTGTTTTTGTCACCACATCGCTGATGGCAGAAATAGCTCGTTCAAATAAGTCCCTACTGTCATGACTGGAGGGAAAGTACCGTGTAGTTAACTTGTGATTTTGAAATGTTGTATTTCGCTGTACTGAGAAATGGCGGGACTCGAAGTCTCAGCTGAGAAAATGGAGACCACTGCTTCTTGCATTTCATCATTATTGGCTTATATTCTTTGTTTGTCTTGGCAGCAGAGGCAGAGATAGGAATCCTTTTGTCAGTGGTCTCTCAGAGGTCAGCAGCAGAGGATTCAGTATATTTTTATGTTCTCCTCATTGAAACTTCTTCCCTCTTCTCAGGCCAAGGAAGGATCTGATCAAGACAGCCGCAAGTCTTTCACCAAGAGAAGCTCCAAGAATTCTGATGCCACAGACTTTGCCTCAGGGACCGATGGATTAGACCCCATCAGCGAAGAGGATGAAAAGCTGGATCACAGCTCGTCCTCCAGGACTCCAGGCTCCAAGAAGAAAGGAGCTGGGTCATATTACCACAAGCTGCCCAATGATGAAGACTCGGGCCCAGAAGACTCTGACAACACCACACCTCTCCTCCATAAAGAGGCAAAATTTGGTGCTCTGTCTTCCCACAGCTCCAAGCCAACCGGGCTGCTTGCCAAGCCTGGCTTCCTCACCGAAATCCTCATCGATAAGAAGGACTCGTCCGATTCGGGGATGCGCTCCAGTGAAAGCTCCTCAGACCCATCCCTGGAAGAGGCTGAAGGAGAGACTGGCAGACAGAGAGATGCACTGAAGCCCAGTCTGATTGAACTGGAGCTGGAGGGCTTGGTGAAGAAGAGAGGCCCCCTACCCAGCAGCCTGAGCGGCCTGCAGGATGCCACAGTGGCCCGCATGTCCATCTGCTCCGAAGCTCCATCTGAGGCCAGCCTTATGGCCAGCAGCCCAGATGAGGGGTGGCCATCCAGCGGGGTCAGCAACCTCAACCACAGCGCCAGCAACACCACCCTTAATAACAACACAAGCAGCCCCAGCGACACCAACACTAACACCAACAACAGCCATCAGCAGCAGGCTACCATCACAGGCACAGAGTCCGCCTGCTCCAACATCATCTCCCCAGATGTCATCATCATTCCCGGCAGCAGCACTGCCAACACCACGGCAGCCACCATCCACCACAACCAGAACCTGCGCACCATCAGCCTTGGCGACGAGAGGGAGAGCGTCCTCTAAGAAGCCACGTGTTTGTTACACTAAGAAGGGTCATGCGGAGTGTGGTTCTTGATGTTTGTATTGTGTTGCGATGAACTAGCGTAGATGAGTGTTGTGTTGTTAAGGACAAAGTCAAAGAAGAGTTGTAAGGTTTAATAAAGCAGCCACCTTGATTTTTGAAAAGGATAAATCTGATAGTTGATGGTTAAATACCAAAAAATGTTTGTAAGGTCTGTCTGTTTGTTTGTCCCGTGTGTTTATGCCGTTAGTTTGGATTTGCTGTGTGTAGCGACGGTAATGTTACAGTAAAAAATAAAACAAAATAAAGTGTTGCTTATAGAACAGTAGCCATGACTGTGAAGAGAAAACAAGTCTAGTGTTTCTGAGGCATTCGGCCTTCAAAGCATGTTGTGAGGTTGCTAGAATATTTCAGGTAGAACAAAGTGTAGACACTTGTGCTGTTTTCTGTGTGATAGAAATGCATGAACTAGACTCCAAAGCGTCATATGTAAGTGTGTTTTGTGAATCAATAAACATCCTCAGTATGTGGACTCTTGAAATCAGTCTGACGGGTTTTATTTTTGTTTTCTTTCTTCGACTTAACTCAGCTGCTTGTGCAGTAGATTATTGGAATTCGCTGGTAAATAGGCCAGAATACGCACATTAAGTCACATTTTAATAGCTTTCATATTTTACCTAATGATGTGGTGAGGAAAAGCAAATGTCTTCAGTGGTAGGATTCGTATTGACCGATAGATGGCGCACTCTTCATACAAACGTGCTACTGCCTGGTTGCACAGACACTGCCTGTCAGGTTTGAGGACTCTGAACTTCAACACAGTAACTCTTAAAGTGTCCTTTAAGGAGCCGTTTTTATTTCTGGTACTTCTACATTTAACTGTAAATGAGTCTTAACTTGAATACATGCTTTATTTATAAATAGATTTTTCCTGGTTTTTATAAGAATGACTGTTTCCACACTTGGAGATTTTTAAGTGTCCCTTGGGGTTATTAAAAATAATAATAATCACCTAATGGGAGGCCACTGATTATTTGGCGGGTCAGTGGTATGGAAACATTTGAGATCCTGCTACACGGTGAGGGCGGACGTGACTGACAGGTCTCACTGCGGGGTCCATCACGTCACCCAACAGCACGCATTAGCCGCCCCCTGCCCCCCTTTCTACCTCAGTCCGCTTTTGATGCCTGCTTTAAAGAACAGTGGACTGCGAAATAACCACGGGTGGCTTTAAGGTTTCAACGTGGCCTTTTGATTTTGAACTCCCGTCATCGTTTGACTTGGTTTATAGTTTAATTTCACAGGAATCAAGCTGATAAAGTCCAAACTGCGGACACCGGGGGGGTTTGATTAGTCAAAATCTGAACTGAATACAGATGCTTCTAGGAAGTTTTGATCTGACTCGTACTTCTGTTTTGCAAAAAGGGGAAAGGCAAGTTAATTGCTCGACTTACGGAATCCAACCCATCACAGACCTATAGTTTCACCTCTTTCCCACAATTGTCTACCATTTTAAAAAACAATAGATCCTCGGCTTCTGGCGCTCACAACCTAAACCAGTTAATCCCTTTTACTTTCAGCGGCATGTGAGAAAGTAAGAGTGCAGTCAGTGCGTCCTCAGTAGGCTTTTACGCAACCGTGCCTCCAGGTCGTGTTTGCCTCGGAGAAGTGTTGACGCTGTGTTTTAAGACTATTATAGGTCACATACTGCAGGTCTGATAAGGACACTCTGTACGATTTGTTTTTCAAGCATCTCATATGTTTTCTTTACATCCAACCTAAAGCCAACACAGATAACCCCAGCTTGTTCTTTATCTGACAAGATCATTTTACGCACTGGTTCAATATCTCCTGAACAAACAAACAAAAACCCACCACATTTAACCCCAACCCGAAGTGGTTCTTCCCCCAAATGAAACATATCCAAATGGCGTTTTTGATTTATTTTGTATAAAAAAGGTACAATTTACATTACTTTTATAAAAAGTTTCAGCATAATTAAGTACAACATTACACTTTTGCAGAAGTTTCAAATTCCTGCAACTATACAAGATAAACTCCCGATGAGAGTTCACAAGGTTTCATTCTTTTCATTTTAACTTTTTTTTTTTAAACAACGTCCAGTCCTTCATGTGCCAACAATTCTGACAAGACTAAACTTTTTACAGTAACTAACCAAGCTGTCTATTTACGTTCCCACCTCCGCAAAAAAAGCGAAGACTTCAACAAGGAGGAGAAGGACAGGAGGGGGGGGGGGGGGGGGGGGGGGGGTGAAGAGGGAGGAGGAGGGATGGGGTGAAGTCGGTGGTGGTGGTGGGGTGGAGGATAATCCTTGTGACAATCTCGTTTTTCCTCCCGCTGTCGGGAATATAACGCGCCTTCCATTTCCAGAAAGGACCCACAAATAATAATAATAAAAAAGTCTTAAGTTAAATAATAATGAAGTGTCCAAACAGAAAACACATCACATAAAGATTGTCCCATAATAAGCAAAAGTCTCTTGATTTCAGCGTCAGAAGAGGAGGAAAAAAAATTAAAAAAAAAATCCAGGCCTGGAGGACAGAGGTTGGAGGTGAGGGAAGGGAGAGAGAGAAGGGGGTAGAGGGGGGGGGGGGAGAAGTCCTGCTCCCCAGGTCCTGTGTGTGTTTTTACGTCTTGACCAAACACCTGCAAAAGATTGAGAAAGAGAGGCGTGTTTAGAAAATGCAAACAGGGCAGAGATCCGGACAGACTGGCGCCAGGGAGGAAGCCGCAGTTTTTAACATTTAACCAAACACTCCCAATACTAAGCAAACCCTGCGCTCCAGATGTACACACACAGAAAGAGAGAGAGGGAAAGGAGAGGGCGCACGCACACACAGGCAGACACACACACACACACACACACACACACACACACACACACACACACTTCTCGCACAACTTCAGCCTACAATCTGGGGAAGAATCAGCGTAATTGCCGCTCAGCTGGCGCCTACCCACTTCTTGTACCAATTATGTGCAGACATCGTAGTAGCAGTAATCCAAACAGCCATTATTTTCCTGTTGCAGATGCTCTTCATTATAGACACAAGAGGGTATAATACAACCCTGACGATTGCTACTTATATACAGTAAACCAAGCAGCCGGGAGCGAATACCTTGCCACTAAACTCCAGTGCGAAATATCAATCTGCTACGTCTTTCCACACAGCAGATGAGACACGAAATAGTTCGATCAATCTGTGACACACTAAAGTCTCGAAGAAGCCAGTGATGTGATCTTTAATTTTGTTTCAGATGAGCCTTGTAACTAATAATAATAATAATAATAATAATAATAATAAATGTACCCAAGTCGTGCTTGCCATAACAGACGCCCCAGTGTTGCATCGCATTCTCATACAAAAACATTAGTGGGACCATTACAGCAACGTGAGACGACATTCGCGGTGGAACAAATGGATGGGTAAATGGTAATTCAAGCCCATTCTGCTCCAGCAGACTGGGAGACAGGCTGTAGCGGAGCCTAAAAGCCCTGGACAGAATGCAGCAGCAGACATGAGGACAGCCTACTTACCGCTTTAACGATGCAGAGTCCGGCTGTCATCTGTCATCAGCTCTGATGGCAACTCCGGGGACTGAAAACAAACAAACAAACCGACCAAATGTTAATTCTTTAAGCATATCCGAATGATGTGTCTGGCGTTTGCAACAGTGTTATGTAGGTCAAATCTCTTCCTCATCTGACTCTGAACAAAAGGAGGAAAAAAATATATAACATGCCATTTCCCCCCCTCCTCCTTTCCAACAAGCCATTTTGTGCGAGTTACGCATAGGCTACAAAGGCGCACTGCTTATGCGCGCACATGAAAAAAAGAGAAAAAAATCCACCAAATCTTTCTCTCACAACACTCTGGACTGTCGCTTTTCAATTAGGATACGCGCTCAGCTACAGTGTAATTACCTGTAATGACAAGATGCTGATATCTGTGTTGAGGGTGGTCAAAGGAGTCCTGGACGGAGTCTGCCCCGGCCGGGAAGGGTGATGCAGGCTGGTTAGTGCGACACTGGAGTCCAGCGCAATCTGCAGGTCCAGGATGTAGTCGATGACATGCTGCAGGATTTCCATCTTGCTGACGTTCTTGTTCTGGGGGATGCTGGGCACCAGCTCCTTCAGCTTGGAGTAGCAGTCGTTCATGTTGTACAGCAGGCTGAGCGGGTCATCCACCGGGGTCTTGCTCCGAGAGATTCCCAAGGAGTGCTCTGATAAATTCACGCTGTTTTTCCGGAAGGATCGCACGGGGCTTATTGCTTTCATTTTTGTAAGTGTTGAGCGAGAGGGTTTGCTTGTGTCGGATGTCTTGCTTCTATTAAGTCCTGTGATTTGCCAGACGATCTGCGATCAGACTGGATTACCTAGCTGTCAGTGTGGTTTATATAGCCAGTAGGCTGGGCATGCGGCACGGGCGGGCCAAACGCGCTGATTGGGAGCTGCTAACATGTCACTCAACTTCCTTTATACCCTCTATTGGCGCTTCTCATTCAAACCCCACCCCCTTTCCACCAGGTTACCAGTGGCAACGCATGTTGGAGGCGGAACCCAGAGGGCGCTTCAGCAGCTCCGGTGGGCAATTTGGAAAATTAAGCCCTTACCTGTTTCTGATCAAGAAAATTAATGATTCTCATGGATGTCAGTTGACAACGGCAAGGCGCGAGCACCTTTGCCTACACGTTTTAAATTTGACCCCATAGATTTGCGATAGGCGTCGAGCTTCAGTGGGTTTAGAAAGGTGTATTTAAATTCAACATAAAAATAAATAAAGGAGATCTTTTCATTAGTTTATCTGCTAATCCTATTTACCGAACACCATCAAAGTCCTCATCAGCCAGCACTTATTTTTTCCTTCCTGCATCAGCGCATTCAGCTGTGGATTTGAAGTTGTGGAGCAGTGATGATAGCGACCGTGTCAGGCGCGCCTGATGATTCTTAATTCACACCAGCCCGGACCGGTGTGAAGGCAGGTTCCTGCATGAAGGAGAACAATAAACTTAAAGTGGAGAACTGAAACAGCTACCAACAGAAAGAAAAAAAAACGTTCAGACCAGTCAAAGTTTTTCTTTCTTTCTTTCCTTTAATTGTTGTGTTTGTTTTTACGCACGAGGAAACGTACCCATATGCACGAAAGATTATGGATGTTTGTTTTGTTTTGGTGGCAAAAATATACAGTTTAACTAACTAACGCACTTAATACCTGATTAAAATGTATTCACTGTATTCACTGACGCCAAGAGTCTGTAAAATATATCACAATAAAGTGCGTGTGTGCGTTAGACATGATGCGCGACAGTTGCAATCAGAGGGAAAATCATCAGTCGATTTACTTCAGCGACTTTTCCCCACAGTTGTATTAAACTGTTGTAATCCAAGGCATCGTGTTTAGACCACTTTCACGTTGGAGATGTGTCTTTAATAAAGACCCAGTGCACTTCGGCACAGCAGAGTGCAAATGTAGCTTTTACATCCACACACGTGAAGAGGCGATTAACTACAATTGACACTTTAATGTTTTCTGAATGAGTCATTTGTTAGCAGGAATTACACGCTTCATTCTTCGGCTGGAGGTGATGGGGGCTGCTTAATACTGCACTAAGTAATTGCCCCCAGGGGCAGCTGAATGTGATGTGCGCGATTTTGGCACTGTGGATCAAATTTGCTCCAGATGACGCGTTTCAGTGTACTTTTAAAAAGACGACGTAGCGGTCAGCGTTCGTATTTTCAGTTTATTGAAATATAGGCCTAGTAATTTGGCAAGGCAATTTGGTTGAAAGGATTAATCAAAGAAAACCCCAGAAGTCAAAAGAATCCGCTTTCTACAGCTTAATGGACCACAAGAGAAGCATTTCAGGGCTGGATCCTGATGAAAAAGCCCAAGAAGGATGTTCACCCATGGCAAAGAAAGACGCTCTAGTCTATAATAGTCGAAATTCTTATAAAAATATATATAAATATATATGTAAATATATATATCAAAGAAATGTTTTCCGGGATTTCACAAAAACCGGTGAAACACCATCTGTGCCATTGTTTTGCGCGTGGTTCAGTTCAGGGACAGCTTCTCATTCAGCTGTATGACGAGCCTGATTTTTTTTTTTTTATTCATTTCTAATATAATCTGGAACTCCTGCAGTCTGCGTCCACATCTGGTGCAATAGGGTTTTTCCATTTCTCCCCTTCATCCTTTCGCTCCCACAGCTGTGTACATTTCGCTCTGCGCCTCTGACTGATGCCTGACAGACAGGTGATGAATTGGCGCAAGAGCACGTCGGTACAAAGCCGAGCGAATCACCGGCAGCAGGAGCAGCAGCAGCACCAGCAGCCGCAGCCTCACCCTGCCTTCACTCTTCCCTGTTTCTCCTTTCTCTCCTCTCTCTCTCCCTCTCTCTCCGTCTTTGGAGCAGACTCTCTGGCGCCGGCGCCGTGACGTCACCCCATTCACAGCAGCCCTCGAGCCAGCCCTCCCGGCGCCGCCGAGGCGGTTTCCATAGAGACGGGGTTTCGGGGATGTCAGTCAGAGGTGTTTCTCAGCTGATCGAGCCGGGGCCCGAATCAGGGAAGCGTTAACACCGGGGACGGGTTTGGGTCTCCGGAGGAGTCTGCTTTGGTGGTGGTGCTTCGAGGGGCCAGCGGATTATCTCATTACAAATCTTAAAGAAGAAGAAGAAGAAAATACCACTAAAGGAATGTGACCAAAGCCTCTGTAGTATGTAGAAGAAAGTCTTGTAACACATCACACATCTGGGCCCTTATTTGGGCGGTTATTTTAAAGCATTATCTAAAATAGCCCATTTTTAAATCTCTGTAGCCAAATGCATGAATCGCCAATCAAATCTGATTTTAAAAACTCTTAAAATAATATCTGTCTTTGTCCCCGAAATAAAGAAAAGTTCAATTGGAGATTCTTCGAGTGTCCGCTCCTATAATGCCTCTAGTGTGACCAAGTAGCCTACATTTACTCGCTAATGGAGGATAAGCTTACAGGTCCGTATTTATTTGATGCTACTTCTGCTACATCCCAACCCGCAGGGAAATACTGTGGACATACTTTTACTCCATTAGGCTATATTTATCTGACATCTATAGTCACTAGTTTAAGGATTAAGATTTTCCACAGGAACATTAAAGCCAAAGATAGATTAAAACCCAACTGAATATAAAATAGCTTGATTAATCTTCATCTTATAACAGATGAATCACTCATAATGATCCACGGATGCCGCTAAATAAGAACACTTGCATATTTTATGGAGTATGAATATGCTTCTTACTTTCCTAAGACTTCATGCATGCTGTGACTTTAGTGACTATTTCAGTGCATGATTGGAGATTTTAATTTCTTTGTTTTATTTCCCAGTGTCATTATGAAATTAATTATTTTTGTCTTTTCATTTGCACCAAACTTTCGATTGTTAATGGTAACAAACGGTCAGCATCTTCTTTCTGTTTTCTGTGATTAGGTGTGGGTGTGTGGGAAGAAACCAACTGCGGGCCTATGTTCAACTATGTTTGGATTGATTTATTTTTAATTGCAAAACCTAACCAGTCTTTTTTCTTTTACTTTAAAGTAATCTGTTTCTTTTCTACTATGAAGCTCGTACTTATTTCCATATGTGGCTGTATGTCTTGTTCTGTACCACAGTGTCAGAGTTCATGCATCACCTTGCGAAAAGCAGGGAAAGAACCTGCACAAAAGTTTGTGAGCGCACAGTCAAACTTTTAGAAACATGCCCCTCGGGCTCAAGCAGTACTGCAAAACTTTTCTCAATTTTTTCTAAAGTAACACAGTGTTGTAACTCAGAGAGATTATCCAATCTGTGCGAACAGAATAGTAAAAAATAAATAATAATAATGAAAAAAATAGATAAATGAATAAATCCTCAATAACCAACTTTCTTTCAAATATCAAGGGAAGGATCAGAAAGTAATGTTCAGCACCCAAAGCGGAGATTCGGCCGGGCTGGAGTGCGCTCTACAGCCCGACTGTGCTCCGGTGAACTTGTTGATCCTCCTCCCCTCTCCCTACCTAACTCTCAAGGTAAAAAGATGAAGCTGGCTCTAAACGATGTGCCGATCGTCACCTGGTGCCAATACTTTAATTACGGGAAACGCAAAGAAATGAACTTTTTGGTCGACCCTGCTGCATGCGGTGAATCACAGTGGAGGCTATCAGAGTGTCCTCCCCGTGCGCCTAAAAGTTAACCCGGACGGCGACTGGTCTTCAGTTCTCATAATAACAGCAGAAATAATAATAATAATAATAGTAATAATAATAATACTAATAACAATAAAACAAAAAAATTAAAACAATAAAATAGGAGAAAATGTTATAATATCCCTCTACGGCTGATGTTATCGACCCCAGCCGTGTGATGGAGAGGGTTAAAAGCGGAGAGGAGAAAACACCAATGATTAAAAAGCTTCTTCTTTTTTTTTCAAAGGTTATTTAAACTCGTAATTTCTCAAATGTGGGTTTGATCGTACAAACCCACAGATCGCTCTCTTTCTTTCCTAACACTGAATTCCTCCTTTTGCAATTCCGAGTCCTCCGACGTGACAACAGCCGAGTACACCGCAAGTAACACTTTGCTCTCCACCGTCCCTCAGTACCGAGCGGTCTCCCCTTCGACACTCTTCTTCGTAGGGATGCCACGCGCCTGTCGCGTGGAGGAGTGTACACATCAAACAGTGGCGCAGTGACTCTTTAAGCAGCGTCTATTCTGCAGGGCGGGGTTTGCTAAAATAGGCCCACACCCCCAAACACTGATGTGATGCGGTGGGGTGAAGCGTGATCAGCCCCCGAGTCACCTCTAGCAGGGTAAAGGCTTTCTTTTACATTTATCGCAGCTGAACTGCAGACTACGATCAGGCTCATCGTCAAGTAATCTGCACATTAGCTTTTCAGTAAACCCGTTAATCAATAATAAGACAACAGCAGCTTACAAAAACCACCATTGTGATTTTTTGTTGGTATTTTTGCTCAAGAGCCGACACAGATTTACTCATTATCAAAAGAGCTGTTGAATCATTTTCTTTCAAATTCATTGGACTCATTGTTTTATCGCAGTGCAGTAGAATAACTAAAAGGTTATGTGAGACACACTAAGTTGTCAGCCCACATTTGTGACTTGATTATGTGAAATACTGATATGTTTGATTTTTTTTTTTAAGATCAGAGTGACTGTTGCATTGATTTAACTGGCAGCTGACTAAAATCCTCCAGCCTGTTGGTTTCCTTGTCTTCCAGTCCACCTCCTGTCCGTCTTTTAGTCTGTCCTGTGGTCCAGATGGGACTCTCTCTGCTCTCTGAGCAAGGGCCATGCCTGGCTTTACTGTAACGTGAGAGGCTGTGGCCGCATCACATGCAAGCGG